AGTGACGACGTCAACCTCGTCACCTACGACCAAGCTGACCGCCGCGGTGCCAACGCGACCTGGTATCGCTCCGTCGCCTACACGGGCATGTGGGTCAACCGCATCGCCTCACTTGAAGTGCACAATGCAACGGCGCTGCCGACACCGCCGCCCGGCACCATCGAAGCTCCTTGGCGCTTCCTTGGCACATGGGAAGGCTTCATGATGGTACGCTTCGCCGCCCAGAGCTCGCAGCCCGAGTGCTATGCCGTGAACGGCGTCAACTGCCTTCTTGGCGAGACCGTCGACGATCTCTTGCCGCAGCTTACGGCGTACGAAAGCAACCGGACCAGTGGCCTTAGCGATGCGACTCTCTCGATATTTCCGGCGCCTTGCGGACCTGCCCGTCAAGAGCACTGGGGCAGCGACGGGTACTCTGTCGCGAACGACTGGTGCCTTCAGGCAGCGCGGCGGCTCCCGATTTTTGAAGCGCGTGGCAGCCCTGCTCACTGCATCATGCAACCTAGCGGCTATGTTGCAGTGTGGACTCGCGGCAACTCGTCGGCCAACTGCGTCGCAAACATCAAGAACATTGGGTGGAATGACTGTCGCATCTTCTCTCACTGGGGGACGTGCACAGCGAGCGCAGAGCGGTTTCTGGAAGGTCGTTCGTCCTCTGCTGACTGGCCTACGTATGGCCAGTCGTCTTGTGGCAGTCTTGAGACGTCATGTGGCCTTCGGCAAACAACGTCTGGACCTACCTACTACACCCTGGACGGCCAGTTGTCAGACAGTGGCATGCTCAGTATTCTGCTTGGGCTCTTTGGCTTTGGCGTCGTCGGCGCCGGCGTCAGTTTGTACATGTGGAAGAAGAACAACGAGGTCGAAGCGCGGCGCCAAAACATTGAAGCCACCGTGTGCTCGAGCAAGGACGGCGACGAGGACAGCGGCGTCTATCGAGCATCCAACGACGTCCACGACGACGACAGAGGTCCTGAACCTCATTAGCGCGTGTAAATGTCAAGTCAAAACGTGCACTATGATTATTGGGAGAGCCACATGGTGGTCATATTGTCATTCACGATAAAGACGATCGAACGAAGACTGTGGGTGGAGAGGTTGTGTATCTTCAGGTCGAATGACCAGAATTGAAATCGCTTGCTCACATGAGGATCCCCTTTGCTGGGGCACAACGCTCTTACTACGACGCGCCTTTTACAGTGTCCTATTGAAGTAAGCGAGAGCTTGGTGTTTGCTGGATTTGTACCGGGGGTGAATAAGTACCCTGATAAGTACCCCTGATTTGTACGTACCATCGATCCAGCACCCGTCTCTAGCCAGATAATCGCAGCGAAGGTCGCGCGTTGACTTTTGTCTAGGCCAACGCGCCATCGTCGCAAATACCATTAGTCAACTCTTCGCATTCAAAGTTCCTACCAGCTCACCCCGCACGGGACCTGTTTTCTTGACCCTTGATCAGTGCAAAGCAGTCTGCCTGTCTTCATCCGCATAATCATGTCCATCATCCGCATACCGACGAATGCCGCTTGGACGTTGCGCTGTGTCCCGCGAGTCACATGCCACAACCCATTTCGCAGCCTCGGTTCCATGTCCTGCCATCAACGACGACAGCGCATCGTCGCTCTCCTCTTGCTGCTGCTCGGTGCCAATGTCGTCATCGCCGACGTCACCTTGTACGAGTGGCCCTACTATAAGGGCCGCGCCTACACGCTTGCCGCCAACGAGACCAGCACCGCCAACGTCCCCTTTCGCGATTCCATCCAGTCGATCAAGCTGAGTGACGACGTCAACCTCGTCACCTACGACCAAGCTGACCGCCGCGGTGCCAACGCGACCTGGTATCGCTCCGTCGCCTACACGGGCAAGTGGGTCAAGCGCATCGCCTCACTTGAAGTGCACAATGCAACGGCGCTGCCGACACCGCCGCCCGGCACCATCGAAGCTCCTTGGCGCTTCCTTGGCACATGGGAAGGCTTCATGATGGTACGCTTCGCCGCCCAGAGCTCGCAGCCCGAGTGCTATGCCGTGAACGGCGTCAACTGCCTTCTTGGCGAGAACGTCGACGATCTCTTGCCGCTGCTGGCGGCGTACGAAGGCAATCGGAGCAGTGGCAACAACGATACGAGCTTGTCGACGTTTCCGGCACCGTGTGGACCCGCGCGTCGTGAGCACTGGGGCAGTGAGGGCTACTCTGGCTCGAATGAGTGGTGCTG